TCTCTTAGTTTCCTTGTGGCCACATGATTAACTTTACTTCCATTGACTATACTTTCTTAATTTAAACATATGGACACATTTCTAGGATAACCAGTAAAATAATGGAAGTAGAGTGTATAACCTCAAAGCTAGTAGGAGGCAAAATGGAATATGAAAAGAACAAATCAAATAAAAACCAGTGAGTCCAAAAGACAGCAAGGAAAGGAGGTAGAAGAGATTCGAGTACAGCTATATTAACATTAGATCAAGTAATTTTTAAAGCAAATTAACATTCCTAGATGTGAACCTAGATATATAGATATGGGCACTGCATATTGGTAAAATATTTAGTTTATTGAGAACCTGTAATTGTTCTAATCCCCTAATTACAAGGAGAACTGAACAAATACCATTTTAATGTAGAGTTTTGACACATTTCTGTCAGTAATTGAGGATAGAGAAGATTTGTACAACACAACAGAATTTATTGGATATATATTTGGAACACTGAAATTCAGCAACAGAAGTATACATATTCAAGCACATGTAGAACATTTATGTATATAAACCAAATCTCAATAAGCAAAAAATTGATTTCATGGAAACCTTGTTCTCAGACCAAAATTTTATGTTAAAAATCAGTAAGTTAAAAACCCTCATAGTTTTGAAATTAAATAATTCTAAATAGCTCATTGGTCAAATTTTAATGTGTAAAGGAAAAGCTTTTTAGAATTGAATGATGAAAATATAACATATCACAATTTATGGTGTGGAGCTAAAGCAGTGCTTACAGGGAAATTTACAACCCGAAATTCTTATGTTAGAAATGAAGAAAGGCTGAAAAATAATGAGCTCTGTATTCAGCTTAAGGTATTATAAAATAATAAATCCTAGAAAACAAAGATTTAATGAATACTAGAACAGAAATTAATGGAATAGGAAAAAAATACAAGAAAGAAGTAGAATGGTTTTATGTACTATTACATAATAACTGTCCCCACTTCCCTCGGTGCCCCCCACCCAACACCCCGTGTGCCACCCCTGCGTGGTCATAGTGGGCTCTGGAGTTAGCTCAGTCTCTGCTCAGTGTCTCTCCTTCTCCCACTTCTCCACGAGAAGCCTTTCTTGGGCAGCTCTGTCACTTTCTTTAGAACACAGTTCTCAGGGCTTTATGAGGAGGGGAGGCAAAAACTATTGCTGCAGCTTTTCTCTAGGTCCCAGTTACTTGCAGTCCTTAAATTACCCAAATCATCATTCAGGCCACTTCTGCTCTCATGTTTGTTTCTTCTTACATCATTTCTAGTTTTTCCAGGTTGCTTCTTTTCTATTTGTTTTGTTTTGGCATTTCTTATTAGAAGCTTTCCATAGATCTTTGGATGTTTTTTCATATTTGAAAGTGGCAAGCCCTAAAAATTGACTAGATACTCCCAACCATTGTAGGGCTTGTGAGCTGTGGACTTCAGTGTGGCATTTTCTGTACAGGCCGTTTCCTTGGGGGACCTTTGTCAGTATCTTTACTGTAAGAGAGCCTCTCACTTAGTTTACCTGTTCGATATGGTTCCCTTGCCTTTAACTGCTTTATGTCCCCAATCTAGAAACCCTTTGTGGTATTCTAGAGAATACAACCTCCAGAGGTAGGGGGGCTGGAGGAGTCATCTGACCCTGTGAAGTTAGGGAGGGGAAACTTGGGGATTTGACTGTTCCCTAACAGACTTCTGATCTTCCATTTTAACCCAACTTCACTGTTTTTTTTCCAGAGGTGATTGATGCTGCCCAGTTTTGAGCCCCATCCTACCCCCTTTTTTGGTGTGCGTGTGCATACAGAGGGCAAAAATCTGGTTGTTTTCAGATTTTTTTCACTTTATGCTAGGGAAGCAGATTCCCTGGGTCTGCTATATTCAATTACCAGTTATTCATATGCTTTCCAGCTTCCAAAATTTTTTGTTGCAATTGTATTGCTTCCTTCCTTAGTCTATTTGTCATATTGGATTTATGCTTAGAAAAATTCTTTTACTGTCATGTTAGTGGGGTTTTAGGAGGAATCGAATAGTATTTAATTTACTGTGTTTACTTGGTATGAGTGCCTTTTCTTAAAACCTTTATTTTTCAGCCCTTGATTGAATATGCTCAGTAGTGGCCCTTTTTTATCTTTTCATTGTAAGTTTACTTTAGAAATTGTCAGTTTACTTTTGTATTTCTGTCTAGAGGCTAAGCTGTTTTTGGATAAAAAAACTTTTTTTTAAAGATACTCTTAAGGCCTTAAGACTCATTTTCTATGCATGACTTATAATCTAACTTGAAAAGCAATTAAAAAAGACATTTCAAAAATATTTTTAGAAATGACTGTGTTACTGGTAAATACATGTTTATCTACCATTTGGATATGTTAAGTTGTGCTGTGTTCATCACAGAATCAATCTTTGTTAAAATTTTAGTATGTCTTAGCTTTCAAAAACTCCATGTTTCTTTATTCTGATGACTTTTCTCCCTCCTTTTGTGAATTACTGCTATTTTCTTGCTCTCCTCATTGATGTGGAAATTTTGCCCAGCTTTAAACTCTATAGGTTTTATTAGACACCATAGAGTTTTTTGTTTTATAAACACACATTTATATCATGGTATTGTATATACTTTTTTAAAACTATATATTGCCTGTCCTTTACAAACCTCTTTCTCACATGAAAATAATTGACCTCTTTCATTGTCAGACTTCATGTTTATTTGATGTAATAAATGTGGCAGGAAAATTATTAGGCCACTTCCTTTGTTTCGGTTTTTAGTATCTCATTACTGGTCCAAATTAGAAATACTGACAAGTATTGTCAGATAGTCATTTGGTACATGAAGAAGAGGAGCCAGATTCTTCTGGTCTTTTGATTACTTCCATTTATGTTAGATTTTTTAGTAACTGCTTAAATTCTTTCAGGCTAAAAGGTGCTATTTAATATAGCACAGCTCTCTATTACTAAAGTCTATTTTTATTTTTTATGCTACTGCCTCATTTAACTAATAAGTTTGTTGGAGAGAGAGACAATCTCATTTAGCACAGATTTTCATTTTTGTGTCAGGAACTGTGAAGGGTCTGAAGATTATACCCTACTTGACTTGCAAGGTAACAAGTTTTATGAGTGCTTGCAGAAGACACAGTATTCCTGGGTCAGAATCAAAGGACAGAATATTACTCACAGCATCAGAAATAGCCAGAGTATCAGCATTTGCAATACTTCTTTGAGCCTCATTTCTCACAGAGCAACCTAAAGATGCCTGGGTGCACCCGAGCCCATCCAAGGTTGCATTACAGGAAGAGAACCATGAACTTGAGGAACCTGAATCTTTTAGAATGGGCAGTAGGAATGTCTACCCATTGCTTTGGAAGGAGACGCTATCTGTGTTCCTATATACAAACATCCTTCAAAAGATAGTCTGGAACAAAGGCACTCAGTGCTTCTGCTCATGAGATAAGCACAAACGTGAGAGAGATGTGAAAAATTATCTTTCAACATTTTGGAAGATAGAAAAACCAAATAGGTATTTATAAGATAGACCTAATAAGTGACTTACAGATTTTTAGATAGGAGAGGATATCCTAAGAAATTTTCCTTAGAAAATAATGATACTTTTATATATATCCTCACGTTCCTTTTGTGTAGCTTCACAAGTTATACAGCTTAGCCTGTTAGCCCCCATAGTTAGCCTGTTAACTCAGAGACATGCATATATGTTAGACTCACACGGATAGTTATTTGAAAAAGGTTACTATGAATCTATTTTTTGAGTGTCTTAGTACTGTTCACTGTTTTTTCTTAAGTAGTAGAAGATACCTGGCCGTCTGTTTTTGGCATTTCTTCTGTTCTCTCTAAAAGTTCAAGGAAGGGAAAACAAGTAGAAAGTTGAAATGATATCATTTTAATTTAGTAGACGTTCACTGTGGTGTAATGTTTTGGACAAAAGAGGTTAAAAAATGATGGCACAAACTGGATTGCTAAGAGGTTTCTGACACTAAAATTCTTCAAAGTGGAACTTCATTGTGCACTGGAACACAAATATGGCACCTTATTTAAAAGACCCTAAAGCATAGAGCACACAGGGACTTTGCTGGCCTCTGGACTTGAGGTCCTTGCCTCAGATCAAAGGTCTCTAAATCAGGCAATATGGAACGCTGTTGGGTCATTCAGTCCTGTCAGTGTTTAAACTCCAGGCAAATAGCAAAAAACAAAGAACTTAGCATCTTTAACTTTATAGGTTAGCGTGATCTCTTTTTAACTTATTTTGACTTTTAAGTAAATTTAACCATCTTTTTGGCTCCTCCAGTATTTTACTATTCTGGTTCTACTCCTCTATCTCTGCCAATTAATTCTCTCCCTCTCTCTTTTTTTAAAACATCATTTCTTCCTGTGTTCTCCGAATGACGGGCTTTCTTAAGATTCATCCTTTAGCTCTTATTCCTAGATCCCTGATCCCTCTCTAGCCTGTCTTTATAGATCTCTTCCACTCTTATGTCAGATCTAATGTATGTGCACGTAACTCTAAAGTCTGAATTTCTCTTTCTAGAGTTCCAAAACCACATTTCCAACTGCCAACTAAATATTTCCTTCCAGATGTTCTGCCAATACCATACAAAATTTTAACTCTGGTTTGATGTATTAACAAAAAGGGCAGGGGCTAAAAGCATATTATTTAATATTTTACTCTTTTAAAAGAAGTTCCCCAAATGAATTATTTTTGAATTATTTTTGATAAACCTTCATGGTTTTTTACGGAGGTTTTATGAGTTCTTTTTTCATGTTTGTAAGGTATTTGTCTTCTCATATTTAATATCAGTTTGTCATATTTTCACTCCTAAACTATGCATTAGGACTTTTGCCTTTATCTTCCCCTGCTTTCTTCTCCCCTCCCTATCACAAGCATACTCTTCAGTACTGTAACATGCATGGGGTTTGGGGTTTTTACTATTATTTTTATTGGTTCAGCTTACATTTATAGGGTAAGAGATAAATCCTGTGTTATTCTTTTCTTTGTAGGTCTGTATGCTTTACGGAGAGTCCTGAAGAAACAGCCCAACTTACCTGACAGCAAAGTGGCTAGATTGGTGAAGATTACTCTGCATGATTTTTTGAAGGGGATGAATGACATCAGGCCCAGTGCCATGAGAGAGGTGGCAATTGATGTCCCAAATGTAAGTCGTTTGTACACCGTACTAGCCACACTGAATTAAAGTCTGAAAGAAATTGAGACTCCAGGGAGACTGCTTGCCGAGGCTAAACATTTTTTTTTTTTTTTTTTAACTGTAGTTTTATTGAAATGATTGCAGATCACATGCAATTGTAAGAAGTAATACAGGGAGATCTTGTGCATCCTTCACCCAGTTTCCCTCAGTGGTAACATCTTGGAACAATATTAACATTGATAAAGTCCACCATTCTTACCTAGATTTTCCCGGTTTTACTCATTTCTGTGTGTGTTTATACATGTAGGAGTCCCTGATTAGTGCACATGGTTAAGCACTCAACTACTAACTGAATGGTTGGCGATTTAAACTTATTCAGAGGCATCTTGGAAGAAAGGACTGGTGATCTGCTTCTGAAAGGTCACGGCCTTGAAAATCCATGGAATGTAGTTCTACTCTGCAGCACATGGGGTTTCTATGAGTCGGAATCAACTCGACTGTAACTGTGGGTTTTTTGGTGTGTATTTAGTTCTGTACAATTTTATCAAATGCGTAGGTTTGTGTATCATTACCACAGTCAAGACAATGAACAGTTCCGTCACCAAAAGGTTCTGTTATGTTGCTCTTTTATGACCACAGCCACCTTGTTCCTACCACTGTTTCTAAAAGTGTTGTCATTTCAAAAAATGTTATGTAAGTGGAATTATACAGTATGGAACCTTTTGGTATTAGTTTATTTCACTCAGCATAATTCCCTGGAGATTCCTCCAAGTTGTTGTGTGAATCAATAGATTGTTCTTTTTTGTTGCTGAATAGTATTCCGTTGTATTTATGTATCACAGTTTTTTTAACCATTCACTTGTTGAAGGATATCTGAACTATTTCCAGTTTTTGGCTATGTGAATAAAGCTGCTGTGAACATTTGTGTACAGGTTATTGAGTAAACATAAGTTTCTATTTCTCTGGGATAAATGCCCAAGAGTGCAGTTGCTGAGTCATGTACTAATTGCATATTTAATTTTATAAGAAAATATCAACTAGGCTAGTCTTCTAGTTATAAACCAATGATGCCTAATGCTTTCTTGGACGCTTTTACATACATTTCATCTTTAACAGTCTTCTCAGAGTTCCCAATTAAATCACAAGGACAACAGAAGCTACCTTTTATGCATGGATCAACTGTTTGGCCCCCATGACCCAAGTGGGCTCTGATACTTGCTTAAGTCAAGTCTCTGAAAGACACTCAAGGGAAAAACAAAAAGGCCTTGTGATGCTGTGCTAGACCATCATTCCACCCCGACTGAAGTTGGCCCAGACTAGAAAAACCACCTAGTTAGTCCTCAAAATTGTGAGAAGTAATAAATGTCTATTGCTTTAAGCCACTAAATTTTGAGATGTTTAGTTAGCAAAAGAGAAGTGATGCAGATACTTCTTAGCGTCTTACAGAACACAATTATTTTATAAATTGAGACTGCAAAACAGTGCCCTAGAGATAGGAACATCCCCAAGGACATCTGCTGATTTAGGCCACTTAAGTCAGCAGTCTGAATCCACCAGGCGCTCCTTGGAAACTCCATGGGGCAGTTCTACTCTGTCCCATAGGGTCGCTATGAATTGGAATCGACGTGACTGCAATGGGTTGTTTTTTTGATTTTAATATGGTTTTGAATTCTTTTTGAAGCATTTTCAAATTGACTATTGAACTGGTAGCTTAAATTCGGGGATTTTCAGAAACCTTGTAGCAGAACGTGACGATTTAGTGTAAATAATTTGACAAATAGAATTTTGGAATCCTGAATGATTGATGTTGGATTAGTAGAAACTAATGAGGTTTGTGGTTTGAAGTTTGGGCACGCATTGGTATGAATGAATTTATCTATTTTATTGATAAAAGGGTCAGGCAGGTGCCTAATGATCAAGTGCCACATGTGACAATTTCGAGTGATAGATTTGTAAACCAATTACACCAACCAGAATCAGTTTAGAGTCTAAAAAAGTTTAGAAACTAAAGGAACGTACAGTAAGAATTTAAACTTCAAGTTACTACAAATGGAGAAGGTGTTTAAATAGTCTGTCCACTTTTGGAATTTCTGAACTGATTTATTCATCACAGGAACTAGTACTACAACTGCATTTTTAATTGCTCTAATGGAAGGTTTTTTTCCTTTATTTTCTTTTGATACTGTATTTATAATCCATGGACTTGTGCCATTTTCCATTTGGCACTTTTATTATTTGGCTTCAGGCCATGGTGTACTGTGATGTTACTCATGAGCTCTGGAGTGATTAGCACTGGTGAAAGGACTTTCTTATATTGCTTTTTATGCTTGCTTCAGATTGTAAAAATTTTCTTGAGAAGTCAACATTTCTATAATTGGATTCCTACACTTCAGCTTTCTGAATTCTGGCTGTTGCATTTACAAAAATAGCAGCATATCTGAGTTATATCTGCAGAAGATTTAATACTTTTTTTTTGATAGAAAACCTGTCTCAAGCAGCTAGTTAATTGTGAGCATTTTTTATAGTAAATTGGGCATTTGACATCTTTTGAGAAAAATTTTAGTGTGTGAAATTAAAACTTCTAAATCACACTTGCCTAGTTATACTTAAGTTTGAAAGAAATGTCCTGAAATGGAAATGTTGCCGATTATAATTTACTTTTTAGTCTTAAATATAATATACGGCATTATTAATTAATTTTCAGACACCATAAGTGTCAGCCATTTACTTAGATGTAATATTTGCTTTTTTTCGGACTTTCCAAATTGGTATTATAGTGACATACTGTATTTCTTTACTATAGGATTAGAATCAGTTTTCTTATAGATTATAATTGTTAATATTTTGTTCCCGCAAGATTTTGTGTGCCTCTGCATATAGGTATTTTAATATGGTTAATCTTAGGGTATATTTAGTTTATATTCTGGTTTTTTCATTTAAAATTATATAGTAAACATTTTACTTTAAAGTTTCTTGGCAAATATCTTTTAATGCCTGTATAATAGACTATTAGATGGATAAAGTGTAATTGTTTTATCCTTCTACTCTCAAATATTTATTTTTTCTATTTTCCCATAATATTGTTAAAGAGATATTTATGTCTAAATCTTTATATTTATGATTCCTAGAAGTCGAATTACCAGGCTAAAATATGTGAAAATTTTAAAGCTTGGATGAATTTTTTTTTTCCAAGAAGTTTGTTTTAATTTATAGTCGTGTGATAAAAATTTAAGATAATAAAAAGATTAAGCAAAATCTCATTTTCACTTTTGCCCTTTTCCCTTTCTACTGTCCACTAGAGTTTATTTTTCTGACTGAAAATATCTTTATAATGAGTAATTTAGTCGTAGAGATTTTCGAAAAGAAAATCAAGTATAACTATAAATCGTATGTTTTTTATTCCTATAGAACTGTTAAATTTTTAGATAAAGGCTGTGGCATACGAGGTAAATAATCTTTGTGTTTGTAAAAAGCTCTCAAGTGGCAGGGTCATTACTTTTAATGGATTTTAAGTTCCATGAAAGCAGAGGTTCTTAACTTATATTTTTATTCTTAGTATTTACCATATGATTACCTCATAGTTCAATCAATATTTGTTGAATGAATGAATAACTAACTTTTATGAAAAAACACATTAAATTGTCAGTTTCAGTTATTTCTGGAAATGCGTATCTCATCTGAATCAATGTACAATAAAGACTATTATTACCCTCAAGTAACATTCTTTAGGTTTTTCATATTTGTAAAGAACTAATTTCTTTAGTAAATTTTTACCCTTACCATCAGTTCAGTGAATTTAACATTTTTGGAATAAAAATCCTATAATAGTGCCACGCTGTCTACTCTGGAAGCATATAGAGTAATCCTTTACATTTTCTGCAGAAGTATGTTGCCTCCTTAATCTGCAATGAAAAATTATTACTGAAGTAACCAAAGTAAAAAAATAGTGCTTTTAATATTCATATTTATATATTAGCTTTGCCTTAAGTCATTTTATACGGACCGTAACAGTATCAGTGATAAATTAATTTATTTCTACATCTGTTCTCCCTGCCCCAACTCCTCGAGATGTTTCTATTTCATTTTATGTAGAATTGTAGGTTTTTCCTTATTATTTAGAGAATAATCCATCTTTATACTTTCAATCTTGCCTTTGGGATTTAGTTTTCACAATTTGGACATTTGCTCCAGGGCTTTACTTTCATGTGAATTTACTTTTGTAAAGTGAACTGGAGCCAGAGCCCCGGGACTAACTGTATAGCTGAAACCCCTTCATAAACTTGGATCCAGGTTAAAATTAGAAGTAGTCAGCAGTCAGATTGAGTGTATACCAAATACCATTAGTTAAATAAACATTCCTCATTTATCCCTATTTTAAAGAGTTGGTAGCAAACTTCTTAATTATATGAATAATCAACAGGCTGTCTGTTTTACTAATTACATACTTAAATTTTACTGCCATATTTTCATCTAGCATCTTTTCAGATGAGCCTTGAAAGTCAGAATGCGACAAGTCAGTTGAATTTCATAGGATGAGCTCATTAGCAGTACATTTCTGGTGCAGTGGTTTGAGAGCAATTATTTAATTGACCATAATTATATTTCATTCTTAACGTACCCTCAGGTTAATTAGAAGTAATTTATTTCAGTTTCTGTTCTTTAAAAACAGTACTTCATTCTATATTTTCTTTATTTTTTACAGACTCACAGGGTTGAGGGTTTCTGTGATGCTTTATTAAATAAAAGATTGCTTTTTTTGGAATAGATAATACAACCTGTGGAAATTCTGTTAATTCCATATTGGTTCTTGGCTGGGCTTTTAAATTCAGTTTCTTTGAATTTTGCTTTTTGTTGTCTAGACAGAAGTGTCTTCTATCACTCCCAAGATCCCAGTCTTCCCTGCCAAATTCTCTTGAGCATTTTATAGTTTTAAGTAATAACAAGTGAACAGGAAAGCACATTTGGGAAAGTAGATTACTTTTAAACAGGAAATACTCAATGCCAAAATC